CGTACACCTGGAACGTCACCCTATGCCTCTCCACGTGTAAAACAAAGGAAGAACACTTGTTGCAATGAAATCCACGATGGAATATAAACCCGTGAATTCATTGCTTCTGGGTCAGTTAGTCAGTTTGTCAGACACGGTCTGTTAGTAATACGACGATTCGCTAAGTCACATTCTTGTAACTTATAAATGCCGGATATCTATGGGATCAGACAAAAGACTTTCTTTATCAATAAATCGTTCAATTTTTAAAAGGGTTGATTCTCCCTGAGAGATATTCATTCCTAATTATTTACAGGTGATCTATCCCTAGCAACGAACCCGTCCGCTCGGATCCACTACAAAATCACAAAAATAGAGCGGACCACTGGTGGTTAATGTGGTTGTTTGGAATTGATCCGAGTTATGATTGCAAAGATGAATAGGAAAACCGCGCCAAGTACCGCCGTTTATAAATATTTAAAAAAAATTGTTTTGTCATTCAAAACATGCCAAACTTGCTGATGTATCGTATTCCAGTAATTTTTTTCAAGTCTTCTGAATGAATGGAGGGGAAAGCGTCTCGTATTCATTCAATCAGTACTGTTGATTATGGCTTCTTTTGTTTGGTTTCGCAGTACTATCCTGTATACCATACATGAAAGAACCTCTCCACAGTAATAACTGTACTACTATAGTGTAGTAGTTGAGTAGAAGTGACGAAATTGGTGAATTATAGTAATTTTATTGCAATTACCTTAAATAAATATGCTCCATAAGTAGCAATCCTGGATGGTAAATGTCCGGCTATGAAGCGAAATAATTCTGTATCCGATTTTTTTTTATTGATATGATAGATCTCCGGCTCCAAGATACCAGCTCTCAATGATTTCATAAATCTAGCTGATGATATTAAAAGGTTCGTGGCTTTCACCAGAGGTTTATTATATCCCATTGCCTTCTCTTGCACCATAATTATGAAGGGATTATAATTGATCGGCAAAGGTTTACGATCCTTCAGGTACATGTCAAACCATGGTTCACTGATGTAGCTTGTGTGGTTATTGACGGCGTCATTTTTCTTCAGTTTTTTTTGCAATTGAGGCCCTTCGTTCCATTGGAATTCAGCAACAGCATTCAAAGTCTGTTTAAACTCTTCTGGTGATAAAATTGGTTGTTGAGCATCTAAATACCTTGTGCATGTCTTCTCTAATTTTGGAATGGGCAAGTGAGGCAGAGATGCCTGAAAGTGCATTGTTGGAATGCTGCTCTGTTGTATGTATTCATATTTCTTGTATCTAAACGTATAAACAATTGATCGGTTTAAGGCTCAGTTGAAAAATCTGATTATCTCGTACAGGTACTTTTTCTCTTGTTTTTTTATCCCCTTTGGTACAGCTCTGCATTGGGCAGAGCAGCATCACATAAGTGGATGTAGGTGGAAAAAAAAGTTAAAAATCTATAAAGTGTGTGCTTTTTAATTGAAATTGGAGGGTAATTGTAGAAAAGCACCACTTACAAATCAATGAGTTCATAGAGCAGGATTTTATGAGCTATAAAAGTAAATGATTTTCTGCGGTATTCAGGGGGAATATTTTGCAAAGCCGGTCTCTGAAAAATTTTTGATTATTTTTAACATTTTTTTGAATCGTAATTTCCTTCCTTCATAATTGGCAATGTCTCCGAATTAGATACAGAAAAATTAAGGTAGCGATCAGTTTGGTGGCTATCACTTTAGCCGGAGAGAGAAGAAGGATTAGAGGGGAAGTATGCTGAATAGAAACTACTCCGTACGGAGCACATGGGGCATATATATAATATTTTCTTCTCTAAATTGTTCTCTAAATAATTTTAGATTCTTTTGTAGATTTTTTGAATTATAATCTTCTTATCCCGTAATTAACAGTGGTCTCCGAATTAGATAGCGACAAATTGAGGTAGCGATCAGCTGTCACTCTGTTGAATGAGAAGAGGAAGGGTAGAAGAAGTAGGTGAACGTTGCAGAGTTTAATTTTGATGTTTGACAGATGATCGCCGCCTCAATTTCTCGCTATCCAATTCGAAGACATGTGCCAATCATCAGGTAAAGAAAATATAACTTAAAAAATCTTAAAAATATTTAATAATTTTGCAGAGAACGACTTTATGAAATAACCAACTGCACAGGCAGATATTCTCTTGCATGCTCCTCCCCACCCCACCGCCCCCGCCCCCCCCTTTTTCGTCCTGCTCCGCCAAATCAGACATTTTTAACTTGTACTTTTGTATAATTATACACATTTTTCTTTTAACTTTTTTTTAACCTATATGAATTTATGTCCTGTAACTCTGCTTCATGCAGGACTGCAACAAAGTTTTAAATAAAAAACGAGAAGAAAAACTGTCTATACGAAATAACGAGATAATCCAACCGGGCCTTCAATGAAAACTTAATTTTTTTTATTCTGAAACATTAATTCAAAATATCAGAGGGTATTTGAAATGAAGGTAATTCGATGTACCTGATGTTACTCGGCAATGAGTGAAACAGACCCCTTGGTATTAAAGGTACCTGAAAAAATATTTCGATTTATTCTTACGGATTATCTCCTCTCTAATCTATTAAAGACAAGCTAAGGGCTGCATGCGCACCTCCCTCCGGGGGTTATTACTTTGCATGTGGCATGTACATACAAGAACTCTGTCACTTCGGTTTCGGATAATATTTTAATTAGATGACTCTGATTAGTCTACATGCACGAATCTTGATTGTTTATCGCCACCGTTGTCTGCAAGTGATTTGTGAGACGTAATGTAGTATAACTTTAATGAATAGAAAGGATAGATTTTTTTATATTAATTTTTTATTTAAGGTCGGCAATACATTTTTAAAATGCTGTAGTCTAGGTACAAAACGGACACCGTAAATTTCGTTTCATTGTCCCATTTTTTTAATTTTTTTATTTCCCTCATCTTTTCTGTTTGAATCATGGAAAAACGCAGAATTAAAGGCTTATATGAATAATGGATAATAACAGGAGATAAATACGGCTACACAAATGGCACTTGGGTAAGGGAAAATTAGGAAATATATGTAGAATTACGAAATCTAATGAATATTCAAATGAAGTTGGAGGGTGTCCGTTTTGCCTCCACGCGTCCTACAAAATATTTCCATCAACAGAGTTCGTCCCTTCTTGTGGTTATATTCCGAGCTATTTGAAAATGGTCAAGCATATTTCCTCGAGAAAAAAAATTTTTTTTTACATCGACGCTACTTTCACCTCATGCCGAAAAGTGCCTTTTCGTTTACCCGTATAGATAAAGAGTAAACGTAAGAACTTTTCGTTCACTAGTAATCGAAAAGAGGACAGTTCGACACTCGTTGAACGTAAAATCACTGTCAATAGTATTTTTCACGCCTAGGACGGAAAAAGGGAATCTGACGAATGCGACTTTATAGTCCGAGTCGGAGACGAGGATTATAACGCGCATGAGTCAGAATCACTTTTTTCGCCGTGACTATAATGCTATATTATGCCATTGTGGTCGAAAACGCGTTTTTATTAAAGCGAAACGAGGTTAGAAACGTGTTTTACCGGTGGCGATGACGTGAAAACATTTCTTTGAAGTGTGACTGTGTTAAGAATTCTAAAATAGTAAAAACCATTGCACCTACTATGGTTGACTACAGTTGTCGCATAGAAATTTCTTTATTGAAAAAGAAAAGATTTTACTGATCTACTTCAAGTCATGAACAATTGCTTAGTGAAAGTACTATCAATTGTAACCTCAAACTACGTTGATAAGTGAAAAGAAGTTGGAGTCTGCCTGTCATTTGCAATCTTTAGTGAGGTTAAACTATATTTTCGTGTTCACCCCAATGAGACGACCATTATTTAAATTTATAAAGAGAACGACGAGAGCTACGAATTTGCGAACTCGTCTATTGGATAATTACCTTAAATACTTTCAAACATTGAATATTGTGTATGGAAAAAAACATTGTCTTTCTGGTTTTAAAACTACGCAAGTTTAATTGATGAACATTTTATGTTCAATCGTTTTCCATTAGCGGCTATGCAGCAATGGAAATTTTATCGTTACTATGCGATTCTGAAACAAAAATTATAGGAGAGGCGGCTAGGGCTTATGAGGAGGCTTCAAGAAGAAACTGCCATAGCGATGTTGCAGGAACTAAACCAGAACTCCTACGTGTAAGTAAAACAGGGGAGAAATTCTGAGCTCCGAGAAGTTATCAACTTATTATTCTAATTAATTATCCCGCACACGCCCAATCGTTTGAAGGTCCTTTGCAGGTCTATGATAGATAAGAATTATTGTTTGATCGATCATCGTTTTTTTTTAATGAATTTTTCAAAAAAATGAAATATTTCTACGGAAGTTATCATCTTTTTTTGTTAAATTTAACCCTAGAATGTTTAATGATCGATCAAACGATCGAGGATCGTTTGCAGGTCAATGATAGATGAAAATTAACGTTTGATCGATAATAATCGATTTTTAATGATTTTTTTTAAATAATTAAAATTTATACCAGAATTTAGCCCCCAACTTTTTGTAATTAAATAAATTAATTATTTGGACCAAGTGAATCGTTTGCAGGTGGTTTGTAGGTCAGTGATAGGTGAAAATTAGCGTTTGATCGATAATAATTGATTTTTACTGATTTTGTTTAAAGAATTGGAATTTTCACCGGAAGTAAGGCCCCATTTTTTTGTAATTCAATAAATTAATTATTTGGATCCCCGGAATCGTTTGTAGGTGGTCTGCAGGTCAATGATAGCTGAAAATTAGCGTTTGATCGTTGATAATTGATTTGTAATGATTTTTTTTACATAATTAAATATTCAACTGGAAGTTCGTCCCCAACTTCTTGTAATTTCAATGATAGGCAGTCAAGTGCCTAATCAATTGATGCGGAATCGTTTGTAGGTGAATAATAGATGATCTCTACTCCACCCCAATCGATTGATTCCACATTAGTTGATGAAAATCGTTTTGGAGTAATTGGGTCACATCATGACGGAGGGGGAGGAGTCGCCATGTTGAATCTAACGGCGAATGAGCCGATCATCTGTCTGTCCATATAGTTGGAAAATGGAGATGTTCTCTGCCCCAAAACCCCCTTTATTGAGGAATTTACTAGTTGAAGAATTGTTGTTGAGCAAATGAAATCAATCTGTCAGTGATATTAAATTTTCTCACATATTCATGTATATAGATCTACTCCGAGTGGAAATACTCTGAAGTACACGCATACATGAAACTTATTATATGATTTCTCTATTAGCTTATTAGTTTATACTTAGTTTATAGTGATATCTGGAATTTTTACTGCTTCTAACATGATTTTTTGAAAATATTGCGAAAATGTGAAGGGTTTTTGCAAAAAAAGTGTAAAGAAGGTTCACAGCTTTTACTTGACATTTGTATGATAGAAATTAGCTAATTAACATTTAGTATAGTTCTTATCATAATAATATTATGCTGTTATTTCGAATATGGTTAAAATATTCTGCTATCAATTATCTAAGCAATATTAATTTTCTTGCTAATAAATATATGTTAATTGATGATATTTTTTTCTTTAAGGTTGTTGTATTTAGCTGATTTGGGGTGACAATACTGAGACAAAATGGCAAGAACTTCAAGCGAAATATTGGTGAAAAGTTTTCGTTATGTCCATAGAAAAGTTGTCCGGAAAAAACAGGTAAATGACTATGGCTTTATGCTGAAATTAACACAATATTCCATAAACATGACTTTTCATTCTGTGATTTCAATTTGTTCCATCTAACATTTCGTCATTATTTTTGATAATTGCGCTCTAATTTCCTTCAAATTCCCATAATTTCATAATAATTTCATGCTAATTTCTCCTCATTCTTTGAAGATTGGTTCGATTTTTATTACAAAACTTCCTGAATTTTTTCATATGAACTATTTTCAAAGGTGTCTCACATTTTAATTAACAAATATGCTTTTCATCAAGGCATGTGACAGAAATGAAATTTTTGAAACATTTTGGAGTTTTCAGTGATTTTATAAATGTTAAAAATTTTGAGAATTTTGATCAATTAAAAATTTGGGAAATTATCAAAGCTATCGCAAGTTTTAAAATTGGGAAGTTGTGAGCCTTTCAGAAAATTTTTAAAAAGCACTACTACCTACTGCCTTTTTCGTCATAGAAAAAGGTTATCAGCTAATTTTTTAACGACCGAATAAGTAATTTTACTTCAATATTTTACTTTGTTCAAGTGGCTAATGCAATAATCGGAAACTGCGCAGGTCCTCCCGCGATGCTGGCGATTTTTTGCAAACTCTACGATTCCATATCCTATCGGTTATTCATTAAGCAGAAAAATTTCCCAAATTTTCAACACTACCACCAAAGAACTATCCCAATCCAAAGTTTTCAAGGACTACGGGAATTACGGACAGTTTACTATCATCCGGTTAGTTCCAAAGTGGCTAAAGATAAACAAGCAACGTCACGCGTTTATTTTCTCAATTGTGATTGTTATTGACAACAATAGTAGAATAATAACTATACTAATAATAGCATATCACAGTTTTTATTATTATTACTATCGTTATTCATCCTATTATCATTATTGTTGCTATTACTGATTCATTCTTTTTGAATACTCGATTATGGTGTAAAAATAACAGTAACGATCATAATAATAATAATACCAGTAATATTAATGACAATAACTGTATAGATCTGTAACAATAACGTGAAATAACAAGAATCCAGTTGTTTGAACATGAATGAATTGATGTCAATGAAACTTTTCCATCAAGCTGATTTTATTTGTTTATTTAACCTGCTTTGTCACTCCTCACGAGTGGTCTTCGCGCTAGATCCTTCAGCTATAAACTTCATTGTATTTACGTAAATATTTCTTTTTGTACAGAATGGAGACTATTCTATGTTCTGAGGGATTTATTACGTTGACCCTTGTTTAGACGGCATAAATACATGACCAGGGCCAGCGTTTTCACGCCAGGTACTCCAGCGTCATGTACCAGCAAGTGCTACGTAACAATAACACCAAACTTTCATTTGTATATTCAAATAAAAAGACCCATTAAATGCTTACTAAGGCATGTACTTAAGGTTATCTCAATGGATGATGATTATCAGTAAGTATTACCTTATTAAATTACTCATTTCTATCCATAGTTCAGTACTTCAGGTTATTACATGGTTTTATTATATTCTACAGGCAGGTTGGAGTTGTTACTATTTATGAAGATCGTTACATTACTTTTGGTCTTGTGAAAGACCAGTGGAGACTTTATGATAATCAACGTAAAGCTATCGTATATTCATCACAATCCGAACGGGTTGATCCCGTTGGTTTAGTTTACATTGTAAAGAATGCAATGCTTTGTTAAAAGCATTGCTACAAAAAGTGCCAAAGCTAGTGAAGTAATTGTATAAAAAAAAACTGATTTTAAAGTCTAATATTACAAGTTTTTTTTATAGTTTTGCAATTTAATTCTCTTTACTTGCAATTTGTTGTTATCATTTTTTGGCAACTCAAAGGAACTAAAATGATATTGAATATTGCTGAATTAGTAATACAATTTAATAGATTAGTTGTCTTCATGTCGTACCTTTAATTTTTCATTATTTTTACCAAAACTGATTGAATTTATTTTAGTTTGCAACATACTGTATGTAATTCACCTAGTAAAGCTGATTCTGAATGAAAAGTTTCATCGAAAACTGAATTTCATTAATTTCTTCGTTCTGGTCTAAAGACTGCCTCCTTAACAACCATCGGCAAAATATTTATAATAAACTTGTAAGTAGAAAAATATGTATCTTACTGTGAACCAAAATGAGCAAATTATTCATTATTAGATCAATCATTGATTGAACTAACAAGATTAGCAATTATTTTAACCTTCAGTTTTCAGACTAACATCGTTGCAATTGCTTCATTGTTCAATATCCATTGTTAAAAATTGAATTAAAAACTATTTTTCTTTTGGAGAAAACATTGTTTTTTTTTGTTCGAAAAAAATCGGATCGTTACCTACTAAATATAAAAAAGTATTTAATAGTGTGAGATTGTCACAGGTATCAAAAAAAACTTAGCACAAGCTCAGAAAATACTTGACACAAGTATTTTTAATACTTGAAATGAAATCGTATAAGGATTTATAAGTCTTCAGAACGACTTGTATAAGTTCATAAGAATGTATGCAGATCTAAAAGAGTTTACTAAATCTTTTAAGCGTTCATATGGGCTTATGAGCTCATCTAGGTCTATGCAGACCTTTACGAAATGTTATAAACAAAGTTGGGTTGTATAAATAACGACTTCAGGAATGAAGAATTTGGCTCCTCGACTTGATTTTCGATCATCGTTCTAACCAAATTATTTTTTTTGCGAGCTTCATCAATTCCGATAAATGAAGTTGCAGTTAAAGAGGCCTGATTAACCCATTCTGAAATAAATCCTTCATTACTGATTATTAAGTAGTTTAAGATATTGTTCATTTTGTGGAACTTTTTATTTATGAAAACATCCATCGAAGTGGCACTGTGTCAGCTGTTGCGTTAGATTCAACATGGCGGCTCCTCCCCCTCCGTCCCGATGTGACACAATTACAACGAAACGATTTTCATCAACTAATGTGGAATCAATCGATTGGGGTGGAGTAGAGATTATCTATTATTCACCTACAAACGATTCCGCATCATTTGATTAGGCACTTGACTGCCTATTATTGAAATTACAAGAAGTTGGGGGCTCACTTTCAGTTAAAATGTTAATTATTAAAAAAAAATCATTAAAAATCAATTATTATCGATCAAACGCTAATTTTTAGCTATCATTGACCTGCAAACCACCTACAAACAATTCCGAGGATACGAATAATTAATTTATCGAATTAAAAAAAATTGAGGCCTAACTTCCGGTGAAAATTCCAATTATGTAAAAAAAATCACTAAAAATAAATTATTATCGATCAAACGCTAATTTCCATCTATCATCAACCTACAAACCACCTGCAAACGATTCACTCGGTCCAAATAATTAATTTGTTTAATTACAAAAAGTTGGAGGCTAAATTCCGATAAAAAATTTAATTATTAAAAAAAAATCATTAAAAATCGATTATTATCGATCAAACCGTAATTTTCATCTATCATTGACCTACAAACCACCTGCGAACGATTCACTTGGTCCAAATAATCAATCTATTTAATTATCAAAAGTCGGAGGCCAAATTCCGGTAAAAATTTTAATTATTTAAAAAAAATCATTAAAAACCGATTGTCATCGATCAAAAGTTAATTTTCATCTATCATTGACCTGCAAACGATTCTTGATCGTTTGATCGGTCATTAAACATTCTAAGGTTAAATTTAACAAAAAAAGATGATAACTTCCGTAGAAATATTTTATTTTTTTGAAAAATTCATTAAAAAAAAACGATGATCGATCAAACAATAATTATTATCTATCATAGGCCTGCAAAGGAACTTCAAACGATTGGGCATGTGCGGGATAATTAATTAGAATAATAAGTTGATAACTTCTCGGAGCTGGAATCAGAGATTATAGGGGAGATTGCTAACGCCAATGGCGAAGCTTCAACCGCGAAATTTCCTAGCGGAACTGGCGGAACTAATTTTGCGGGTGTACCTGTGAATCAAACAGGTCGCGAGGGCAAGAGTGTCGGTAATTTTCGGAGGGCGTGGGTATAGATAAAGCAGAGCGCGAGCCCGAGCGTCTCGATAATTCGGAAAGACCAGCAAACGCGAGAGTGTCGATAATTCCAGGAAATCGTGACGAAAGAAAACATCCCATATAGAGCGGAGTGGGGGTATGATGGAGAAACAATCGATGGACGGAATGAGAAAAATGAATTCACTTCTGTAAATTCGAAAAATTGTTCAACAAATTGGGGAAA